TTTTTTTTTTTTTTTTTTTTTTTTTTTCTATCCGTTCATAAATAGACATGAAGTCTTACAATCCACTTTACATACACACATGCATATACAATCATCACATATGACAACATATGACAACATGCAACACATGCAAATAAATTTCATATATATTTAACTTAGAGATCAGAAGGCCACATAAGGTGGACTAACTAACAACGGAATTAGACTGCTAGAAAGTAATTAGAAAGTTTATTTTTTCTTACGTTTTTTAGTTCAAGTACAGAAATTACCTACCATCGCCTGAACAAAAGCTCGATGAAACCACTGCTTTAACAAGAATGAATAAATCGAGTACCCAAATTCTCACAATTAGTTTAAATGATATATATTTCCATCATAATTGACAAAAATGTTACAAGTAGATCCCAAGACTTCACTCATAGATGCAATCCCAGAAACCATCGGTCAGAAGCGCCTTAATATACAACACAAAAACAACTCCCGGTGCAAAGTTCCAATACCTCAAGAGCAGAGCCATGCAATGATCACTCCAACTCCAAATATTCGACCTTCATTTCACGAATGGCACTCCAGAAGGTACCTGATTCGCGTACTCCTCATACTCGCGACCAAAAAACTGTCTCAGGAAGTACTCTTCATATGGAATTCGTTCAGCAAAGAATTGCCAAACCACAACAGCAAATCCAATTGTTGAAATGGGATTACAGAGCATGATTTGAGTGCCAACTGCCCACACAAGGAAACCGCTGTATCCAGGATGACGAATAAATCTATAGACTCCATAAGTAATCAGCTTGTGATGGTCCTCATGATAGATCTTAATCAGATGTGTAAATGACCGACCTGCAGTTACGATCGCCAGTTTACGTACTGTTTCTCCAACTACAACCATTGCAAGGCCTGTCTGACTAACCCACCAGTATTCCTTAAGACCGGGACACAACACAATTTCAACGAAGTACTCTAAGAAACATAACATCATTGCCAACAGATAGTTTTTGCTTATCAGAAGGGACTTTAGAGTTACGTTGGATTTCCCATGAATTCCAACTGCTAACATATATTCAGAACTGTGAAAGAAGATGATTGCAAATATCATCTGAGACAACTGTCTGCATGCTGTGTAACTGAATACTTCTGTCATGTTTTGTCAACCCAAAGTATCAGCTACTGCACTAGAGCTTGCAAGGGTTATAAGATCTTAGTTCAGATCTGAAAATGATGCAGAGCCATATAACATCAACACAGAGAAATCCTCATGTACAAAACCCTGAAGATCCTTTATGCACATCTAAAAAGGAAAAATATGTTAAACCAGATTTGTATAACAGAATCCAGGATGAATTTGATAAATCACAAGAACTTTATACACCATGCAAACAAATTTTGCTAATGAAAGGTTAGCAAAAAAAGTTTTCAGAAGCTCCAACATTATCCTAGCAGGTATGTGCTGCATTAACTGCATCTTTTTTAAACGTTTCTGAGTGTCACATACCGGGAAGACCTTTAAAATGTCTTTAGGGATAGTAAAAACACGAGAAAAAAAAAAAAAGAAAAGAAAAAAAAGTTTCACAGCTACTTGGGAAGATCGTGATAGAAACCAGAAAGCTAAAATAGGATTGAAAGATGGGAATGCAATAACTCCACTCTTGAGTATTATTACGTCAACTTAATGCCATTAAACAGTTCTCTGCTTTCCTCTCCTCCCATTCACTCTATTTACAACGAACTCCTTGCTATCAAACCTTTGAGCTAATTACAAATGCACCCTTAATACCGTAACAATCTTTGTAAGGGGGGGCAATAGCTAAATTACGAAGTATAAAGTACAAGGGGGCAAGGCATCTATAATGCATAATTTAAATAATCTAAAGAGTCAACAACAGTTCCAAGAAATAGCATATCTCTGAAATAAACAAGAAGTTCAGGGAATTGGGAAAGCTGCTGATGAAATGAAAAGTTAAATAGAGTGTCTGTCAAAAATAAACAAAAAATCTACACTCCATCTCCATGTGTAAAGAAGAAATCCTAAAACATTCCATGGAGAATAAGAGAAAATGCTCCAATTTAGATTAATTGCAAAAGGTGTGTAACTATAGAATTCTTTTGGTGCAGCATCAGTTTGCTGCATCCGATTTTCCTTTTTCAACCACCATCTCCAAATGTCTAACTTTTCAAAGGAGGAAGAAGAAGAAGTAGAAGATTCTAGTTTCTTTTCAGCGATAACATTTCAAAAACTAAACCATAAAATTGAAACCATGCCCCCAAAAGATAGTAATAAAGTTCTGTTTTGTTGATCAATCAAGTATCCACCACTAAACTGGCCATGGAACAACAAATGTTGTTAACTGTCCCTTTTTCTTTGCGTAACACAATCCAATTTGAGCATCTCTATGACATCTTAACGGGAGAATTTGAAGCTTCACAGAAAATGGTCCATAAGGAGACAATAATCTTATTAGGAATTAAAATTTTACCACTCCATACCACTTCTATCAATTCCTTCTCAAGAAGTTGACTTAGTTATACAAATACATGCATCTCATTCCCAAATCATCCATCATTCAAGGATTCTCATTCTCATTCCTAAGGTCTCGATAACCATTTAGTTTTTGGCTTTTAGTTTCCAATTTTCGAACTTAAGTTGGTTCCTCATAGTCTTTACAATAGTTTTCATCTTTTGTGAGGAAAAATCAAAATACATTTCAAGAAGGCAAAAAATATTAGTCTGCTCAAATTTTCCCTTAAACGAATTAAAGCTATAAGAAAACAACACCAACTTCTCCATGCAAACTTGGCCTTCATTCTGCATCTTTCTAGTAGTTCAATATACAATCTGAATTCATTCACAATCGAAAATAACGAAGGAGATGAAGAAAAACACCACAATCATTGCAAAATAGAAGAAAATACATTACTTACTGATCCTTGAAAGAAGTTTGGGTCCTTGCTTGTATTCGAAGAGATTCGACTTCGCTAAGATCGTTCGGAAATGCGTCGT